AACTTAATGTACTATTGATAAACAGTAAATTAAGTGGTCTCATTGCTCGCATAACTGGTGGCTAAACAGATTTTCGTTGTTTAGCGTGTAAACAGGCTTGTCTAGCTAACGGTCGTCTTTCTTCGCTTTTCCAAAAGTTATTGCAATAAAGCTACAAATTAATTTAAAATTGCAACTACTATGCGTTCCAAAATACAATGATGTCGGATATTTTTCGAATAACTTTAAACAGAAATGAGATAGAAATCTGCGATTTTCAGTTTTGGAAACTAGACACCTGACCACATGTTGGATGGACTATGGATAATCGATCATGCCGAGTCTCGTGGCAATATTTTTTTTTCGAAAAGATTTAAAAATCTACCGAAAAGCCAGTTTTACGAAAAATTCGCTATTCACTCAAAAAACATCAGAACGAGCTCAAAACTTCAAAATGTAGAGTATTTAAGCTATTCTGTTGTCATCGGAAATCCGACACAACGCCCGAATCGCAGAAAATCAAGGTCTCAGATTACTCCAATTTTGAAGAGAACACCCCGAGTTCTCAGTCCGTGAAAAAAAATTAATACATTCCTATGTGAATTTCGGAAAACCTCAGCTAGTTTCCAAAGATCCTCAGAAAAACCCGCTTAACAAGTTTTTCCGAAATTTGCTTTTGCTTACGGAAATATGTGGTCAGGTGTCTAGTTTTGAAAACTGTCTATCTCATTTCTGTGTAAAGTTATTCGAAAAATATCCGACATCATTGTATTTTGGAACACATGGTAGATAATTAAGTAGATTAAACATTTCTCTACACAATGAAAAGTGTCTCGGCTCTGAACGTTGATTCATTATGAAAATACAGCTGTTGTACCAGCAGCCCAAAAGTCGATTCGAGGGCTATCTGAAAAATGTGTCTAAAAGAGTGAAGTCGAGCAGGCGAAAATTGAATAAGTATACCAGTTAGTAGAAAATTGTTTCTCTACAAGATGTGATAGTTTTTTAAGTTAAAAGCTATTCCAATAAATCTCTATTAATCAAAGAAAAATCCCAAAACCGTGACGCTGCGACTGACAAAAAACGGTCAGAAGTGTCACAGCGTCACGGTTTTTCTGGTTTTTCTTTGATTGATGCAGATTAATTAGAATAGTTTTAAACTTAAAAGACTATTACATCTTGTAGAAGAAATACTTTTCTACGAACTGGTATACTTGTTCAATTTTCGCCTGCTCGTCTTCACTCTTTTAGAAAAAAAAGATACTAATCTTTATCATGTTGATGCTCTATGTGTTATTGGTCTACGTACCCACTTCAGTGACAATTTCAGTTAGCGAATTGCTGCCTTAGATGATTTTACATTTAGATATTACGCAAACAATCCACCGGCGTGGTCTGCATCTTCGCCTTGCCATGTAGCCGTGGTATTTTTTCTCTCACTGTAAACCCTTATCGTCAAGGATAATCATCTCGGTTCAGAATATTTTTATCAAAAAATAACTATTTCTACACGATATGGTACAGTTTTTCGTGAAAAATCGAATAACACATTTATTTTCAGTAGAAGTATCACGAAATTAGAGAAATTCATATTTTCGTGCGAACTAGTTCTCGACAGAAACCCTCTATCTCCATCAAACAAGGGATGTGCTATTTTACACTAACAGATATCGGTCGATACCATCGATCTTATATACTTAGAAGCACATTTTGGCAAATTTTCAGCCAGTTTCAGTGGCGAATGAACATGTCGGAAGCGTAGCACATCTACAATTAAGTACCTCAATAGTCACTGAAAACTTAAATTTTGACTTTCAACAAATATACTTCCTATATTCATGTAGGAACGTGTTGCATATTTAAACGTTTATATAATACTCAAAATAAAGCTTTTTCGTTAGACCACGCTACTTTAGAAGTATTGGAGAATGAAAACATGTTTGTTTTATCAACGTGTGTAATGAACTATATCATGTTAAAAAGTAGTTTAGAAAAACCACCCATTATTTTTTAAGTACTTTGCACTTTTATTTTTATTTTTGAGTTAAATATTGTGCATTATAGAGTAAAGTGTCCTCTACAAAGCAGGACGATCCCCAGCTCTCCAACGGCTTCGGCTGAGAAGATACGAATTTTTTAAGGTTTGTTACTTTACGCTGAAAAAACCTTATTCTTTTACTCTCGACACTTTTCTCCCTTCCATCCCGTACTTGATAAACTTTTCAAACAGTTCGTCTTTTAGAGTAAACATTTCTCTACAAAATGAGATGTCTCCCAGCTCTCCACCATCTTTTCTGATAGAGATATGATTGTTTTGGACGTTATATCACAAATGTGACTTTTTCAAAGGCTTCCAACAAAATAATCATAACTCTAAAAAGAGGGGTTACCTTTATTTTCTGTGACGGTGCACATTAGGATTCGACAAGGTATACACCACTGGATAGAGCAAGTCTTCATTTATAAGCTCATACATATCCCGTTTTGGGGTCAAAAATCACCCTCAAACTTATAGTCGCCTTTCAGTCCATCGTTTCGTACATTCACGAACACAGCATACATTAGTTACTACTCAATCAGGCCTTCTGAGCATTTAGATAGTTTTATTGTAAGAGAACATCACAGGTTTTGAACTTCGAATGCAACGTTGAACGTAGTGCAGAAGACGCACAAGGTTAGGAACCTTTTAACCTTGTAATGATATTTCAGCTCTCTACTTGTTATCATTTGCTATGGAAACTTCTGAAGTACTGTTGGTACTTTCATCTCTGCAATATTTATTTGTCCCTGTTCAAATACACGATGTGTATTCAAATATTTTAGAACAGATCCGAAAGGCCTTGGATAGTCATAGAGTATACTTTTGATAATTGCATTACAACTTTGAAAAAATTTTCAAATGCAGATAAGTTCTACTATCTATAAAAAGAAACAAGTAGTCGATGATCTCCACGTTTTACCCGATAGATTTACTAGCTAATGTAGAAGGTGGCGATCACTAAATTTTCAGTGAAACTCGATGAGTCAAATTTTATATGACGGTAATATCTTGATAAAACTTCCACTTCTCTCTCATGTTATTTCACTGAAAAATCTTTTCCTGCCTCATTGTGCTCCTAAACCCATGATGAGTATCTCGTTAGATCATTATGGCTAGGAATAAATGCTGGACTCTTCGCTGTTCCAAGTGGCCAATATCCATTTCTATGGTTATAACGAAAACCGATTTCTACCGAAAAATTTTGCTTCTCGATGCGCTGAACTTTTGACAGTAACTTTCAAATATTATGCGCACTTTAAAACAAGAATAGGAGCTCATGAAGTTTTTTCATTCAGGATCTGCAAAAAATTAGCCAATAACTGTTCAGTAGCTACTAAATTCGTTAAGGAAGTGATCTGGAATCTCTGAGTCGAGGGGCTAAAGGTTATCGGTTGAATAACTTTTGATAGGAAAGAGCTAGAGAGCTACGGCTTTCACCATTCGAAAGAAGAGGATTGGAGACATGTTTTCAAAGCCAAAACTATTCCAGAAGAGCTTTCTGAACAGCTTTTCTAGGAAATCTTTGGATAACTAGGCCGTATGTAAAAACTTACCAATAGGATTGTATCGATTTTTTTCATGGGCTAGTAGCTCGAGATGTCCTCACAAAAACAGGAGTCAAGCAACATCTTGATTTCTCGCGATTCGTGGGTTGTATTACGGACTTCCTACGAGTCCCAGGACCGCACCCGTTGACTAGTGGTAGCCTTGAAGACGGATGGAGTATGAATGATCGACCATGCTGAGTCTCATGGCAATATTTGTATTTAAAGGGAATTTTAAAAATCTATCGAAAAGCGAGTTTTACGAAAATTGTTTTTTTAGACTGTTTTCACCTAATATTAAAAATTTCACTATTCACTCAAAAAGCATCAGAACGAGTTCAAAACCTAAGGATATGATTAAAGTTGTCATCTTGGAAAACTTTAGGATTTTTTAAATTTCTTTCAAGTTGTATATGCCAATGTATGTATGTGTCCATAATACAAGCAAAGAACCAGAATTAAACAGAATAAAATAAATTAGAATTTAAATACGACAGAACGACCTGCGTTGATGATGGACTGATTTACGAAATTCGGAAATCAACCCATTTATCTAACCATTAGATTAGCAAGAAATACCTCGAAAACCTACGTAGAGAAGCAGTATTTTGATGGGTGACCCCATTTTTGGGTCGAGATGACCCCCATCATGAAGACCACCATTCGATAGAGAATTGAATTCTACATGTTACACAAACAAAACGAGAGTTTACAGAAGCTCATAGACGAATACTTTTGCTTGGGTTGGTTTCTCTTCTAGTAGACATAATCCTGAGATATTTACTTTTATTACGCTTTGTTAAAAGAATATAATAAATTAATGAATGATTCAACAAAGATAGAGATGTTTCATTCGAGAAAATGAGCGAACTGTTAACTTAATAGTTTGTCTGCTCTTAAAAGCGTTAAGATAGGACGATAGAAAGCGACAACATTAAAGAACGAGCGTGGACGGACGATCAAATTTGTATTTCTTTATGGAGTGCAAAAAAGTGCGATACCATAATCCGTTCTTTTCTCTTCTACCTTATCTTTTAACAATTTAAAGTACAATATTGACAAAGCTATAAAAAGGTATATTTGCCTGTGATCATTTAAAAGAATCCATTCATGCACTATAAAATAAAATCTATTACGTGGACTTATTATTGCCTGAAAAACTCTTTTCCGGTTCTAAGCTGAGAACCGAGAACCGTGGTTCGTTTCATTTCTGTATGACGAACCGGAACCGCGATATTTTTCCGTTAGGGTCTAACTATAGGATCGGAACCAAGAACCGAACATCTATAGTAAACACGTATACAAGTATGCACTTTGTCATCTCAGTTAACCAAAAAGTGGTTGCAATAAAGAGTCACTTATAATTCATCTGTCTGTCTCCTGCGAAGTATATTTCCATCAACATCACCATAAAACATTTTATTTCTGTTTCGAAGATGGGGTGTAAACAATCTGTGGTAACGGTAACTCCGCTTGATGAGCCATCAAAAGTAAACGCACTTTCGCTGACAACCGATGGTTTGGATGCGAATAACTTTCGTTCAATTACATTGTCAAAAATACACGAGGTCAATCACAACACAAAACTGTTTACATTCACGTTCGACGATCCTAAATCAATATTAAACATGAAAATTTCATCATGTACCGTGCTCAAAGCAAATATTGACGGGGAAGACGTCTACCGGCCATATACACCAACCACACGACCTAACACTCAAGGCTATCTCGAATTTCTAATCAAATACTATCCACAAGGTGTTATGTCAAAATATATACATAACATGAAAATCGGGGATAAAATTGAGATTAAAGGACCAGGCAAGTAGTATCTCATATTGTTGTTTAATAAATATTTACTTTATATCTCTTCTAGTACCAAAGTATGATTATCAGCCGCATAAATTTAAAAGTTTAACACTGATTGCTGGTGGTACTGGTCTAACCCCGATGTTACAAATGATTGAAGAAGTTTTGTTCAATGCGGATGACACAACGACTATCACGCTACTATATGCAAATACAAGTTTCGCCGATATTCTAATCAAAGGTGATCTCGATAAATTGGCGCAAAAATATTATGACCGATTTAAATGTTATTATACAATTAGTAGTGTTGCCGATACAGCGGAGGATCAAGCATGGACAGGAGAAAGAGGGTAAGTAGGATTCAGTAGCGATTGAAAACCTTATACTTTGTACGATCGTTTTAGTCACATAACGACGAGTATGCTAGAAAAGTTGATCCCAATGCCGAGTAATGGGGATGATGAGAGTATTATGGTTATGGTTTGTGGACCACCTGGCTTTATGCGGTTGATCTGTGGTGAGAAGACGCCTGATTACAAGCAAGGTGAAGTCAGCGGACTGTTGAAACAAGTGGGTTTTACGGAAAAAAATGTTTTCAAATTTTGAGCGACATAACTCTATTTCAAGACATAAAAACAAACCTATTTCGCCTATAGCGTTCTTTAAAACAGTGTCTGTTCAGCTGCAATTTCTTGTTTTAAAACATGAAGGATTACAATTGTAATCACTAACAACCAAAAAATATATGTGTACCACACATAGAATCACGTTAAATAATTAAAGCCAGGACCACATCAGATACAATCATGCGATAAACTAATCTCTAATATTCCTTCTCTCTTCAGGAAAATTTTAGTTTTTGAGTTAAACACGATGGATTGATTATAGGAGAAAAAATTCTCTGCAAGGCAGAACCACAGAAATCACTGAAAACATTTTGATTTTTCATTTCTAACCCTGGTTAAGTTGATACTTTACTGTTATCTGTACAACAATGCATTTACATATGGAGTGGAAACAGATTTGGGGCTGGAGGGTTTTTACAGACGAGAAAAACCTTTTTTACAAGTTACTTATAATCATAAGGTCATGACTAATATACTGTACTCGAGCTACTTATGGTTATTTTATTCATAAAGGTAAGATTATAAGTAGCCGGCAGAAAAACTAGTTACTTTTGGTTAGTTTACAACAATGTCTCCCATCTCAGTAAGGAGCAGACCTGAGGAGAGATACTTTATATTAGTCATGACCTTATGATTATAAAGTAACTTGCAAAAAAGATTTTTCTTTAACTCGTCTGCAAAAGAGCTCCAGCCAGATCTGTTTCGACTCGATATGATAATGTTCCATGATATGGGTAATAATGTACATCTTTCCTTGTCGAAGCTATAGAACTGTTGATGTAAAGCATATTCACTCTAAAACAACATAGTTGTCAAATTCTTTTCTTAGCATCTATGTCAAACAAGATTATTCATCAACAGTTTTAGGCATCCTGTCCCTTAAAATAAGCTTCTCGCTCTCCTCCGTTACTACCTTCTAAACACCCGGACTTAGAATAAAATACTAGTGATAATATTATTTCCGTCGCACCCGTTACTTAGGCAAATTCATATCGGAAAAACTTCAAAATAGCCCTATAAAAATATTCACAACCTAAATTTAACCTAACCTATTAATGTTTTCGGTAACCTAAGAAAAATGTAGAAAACAAAAACAGCGAAAAGGAAAACGTAGAAAGGAAAATGTAGATGAGTCATTTGCAACTTTATTGTACAATTGGTGAAAAAGAGTGAAAGTGACTTTAAACAAAATTTGATTAATACCTCTTGTTCTCGGCTGTTTTCTGAGCCTAACGCACTATTTGCTTTTTGCTTTTCGTTCTTTCTTTTGTTAGAAAAACTTACTTTTCTCTCAATAAGTCATCTAAAAACAGGTTTTTGTTGACTTTTGATAGGTTATCTTGATGAGTTATTGAGATATCGAGCAGAGATTTTCTGTGGTAGTGAAGCAAGCGATAAGTGATAAAACAAAAAAAAGAATTTCGAAATCTGTTTCCAGAAACCGGAGTAATTTTAAAAATATGACAAAAACTCGATTGTACAATAAAGTTGCAAATGACTCAGATATGAGTTTAATATCGAAAGAAAATATATGAGAAGAAAAACCAGAAAGAAAAATCGCAAAAAGATTTCAAACACTTAAAACAAGATTCGATAACGGTGGAATCGAAGCAAAGCAATTGTTGAATGGATTGGCTTTATTACTTGGATCTCACAAAAAACAGAACTAAAATTTATAAATTTCACTTTTTTTTATATGAGCCGAATAAAAATTTTTTCTAGCTAATAGTATTACAACAGTCTTATTTTTTTATATCGTTCTTTTGATATAATCGAAATAAAAAAATTTTCTATACTAATATTATTTCGACATTTTCCTTTTTACTTTTTCCTTTTTTCTATTTTCCTCATTCGTCAACCTGAATTTCGCTATTTTCCAGTTCGACATTTTCCTCTTCGGCATTTTCCTGATTTTTTTTCGACGTTTTTCTGTTCGATGGTTTCCTTTTCTGCGTTTTCCACCAAACCCATTTGAATTAGGAGCAACTTCGATTTTTCACCTAATTTCCGCCTGGATGTCCACTGTGAGTAGTACCTCACGTGCGAAGTACAAAAGATGCTGACAAAATGAATTAACCATTTTTTAAATGAAAGTTTTTGTGCCAGAAGAAATAGTTCTCCGCCCTGTCGGTTCCAGTTACTTTCAGTCTTTTTTTCTTGAAAACTTTCTTCCCTTTTTATAACTCTCAAAACACAATCCTTTTTATATTTATATTTCCAGTTAGAAATAAACGTTGAAATTTTACTATCTGGGCTCAGCTGCAAAGAGCAACTGAACGTAGTCGAGTGAGTAAAAAAGTTTAAATATGCGGTTTTTCACAAATTATTAATTGGCCTGGATCGACGATGTAAAGTTTTAGGAAGAATTATTTTATATACACTCAATTCAAACTGATTTCATCTCAGAACTCAGATGAAATCTAAAAAACAGATCAAGAACGTATCATCGTGTCCTGAACTATAAGACTCTTGCTCAACTATTTTTACTGTCATGTTTAGGATCATGTCTTCGAATAATACGCTGACAATAATGAGTGACTTACCATCATTTAATAAGAAAGTATTCTTTGTATTATTAGTATTACAAGTATTGTCTGCCGGATGTTCACTCTATCTGTTCTACCAATTTAGACGTAATCGTCAGCTAAGACAATCTATAAATAATCATGTTTTTATTTTATTGTTATGCATCAGTTTTCTCTATGTCACTACTGCATTACCCATGATCCAACAATATCTGCACAATTCGCATGTTTATCCAACATCCAACATTTATTGTTCTTTTGCAAATTTTTATCATTATTCATTATCTATAAGCAACGGTTATTTGATGGCATTTGCATGCATTGAAAGGCATCTTTTAATATTTAATGTTAATCACATGCGACTAAAGCATAAAAAGTTTCTTTATCATTATTTCCCAATGGCATTATGCATCCTTTATCCAGTTTTATTTTATATTACTGTTATATATTTGTATCAATGTGGAAATTACTATGATTATACTCAAATATTATGCTCGGCGCCTTGCTATATCTTTTCTAACAGTGTACTGCCAACTGTTGATGCTATCCTGAATGCCCTTGTACCATTCATTGTCATTATTGTTGCGAGTGCATTATTATTTGTTCGCGTTTTATGTCATAAACGGCAGATGAAACTTCAAACATTCAAATGGAAACGTGATCGTAAAATGCTTATCCAGTTATTTCTAATTCTTACGTTATACACAATCTTTTCTCTGCCGCCAACTATTAATTATCTGTTGCAATTAGTCCAGTCGACGTGGGTTGCCACATTAACTCAAGTTTTGGTTGTTCTTGACTTATTACCCTATTGTATTCTTATATTTTATCCATTTATTTGTCTTTGTAGTTATCCAGATTTACTCAAAAAGTTTAGTACACAACAAAACACTATTGTGCCAATTAAATATACAGTAAACACTCGTAATACATGAAATAACCACGGTTACGTTCGTATTAACTAATGTCATGACTTGCTGATGGACCATGAATATTGTCTTCAAATCCTTCAAACTAGTTGACCTATAGGCGTTTTGACGCAGTAAAATCTAACGCATTTAACACAATAATCGCCCAATGCGTTTTAATCTTGTATTTTTGATGTACCAAAACGCGTTCCTTCTTAACGCGTTTCCCTGCTTGCAATAGGCGTGCGTTTAAACACACAAGAGTAAATGCGTTAAACAGGGCAATTCGTGTACCAATTGATGCATCAAAACACGTTCATTTTTAACGCGTTTTAGCGCACGACCATTTGAAGCAAAGAAACGCGTTAGAGGACAACGCGTTTTGATGCATCAATTGGCGCAAGAATTGCCCCGCTTAACGTGTTAAAAATTAACGCACATTAACGTGTTTGTTTGATCCAAAAATTTCAGCTGGGCAATCTAAGATTAACCTTAAGGCGAATATAGCATTTATGGAAGATTGCTTTAAGCAGATGTCAAACTCTGATCATTGTGAACAATATATATTAGCAATTTATTTAAGCTAATCAGAAACAAAAAAAAACAAAATTTCAGTACTATTTCTACTTAGTATTTCCCTTTTTTCTTATTATTCCTTGTTTTTACAATAAACACCATTTGATGACATTTTTTCGAGCAAAACGTGTTGTTTCTCTTACAGGCACATTTTCTGGTTTTACATCTACCTTTACACTAATTCCAGTAACTGCACCACGATAATACATTTTCGATGCAGTTATCACCGATATTTCTTCTAATTCGCTTATATTTAATTTAAGCAATTGTTCTGGTAAAGCTTATAGTTTCACGATAGATTCTAATGACCACCATTGATCGATAACACCAAATAAACATGCTGCTTTAATTTTATCATCTTTCTTATCAATTACGATTGATGGTAATATTTTTGAATTGGTGTTTGTTCGATCAACTTTGTCGATTTTTATGCCAACACAATCAGCGACACATCTTCAATATGTTGACTGTGCGCTTTTATTCGTCGGTTAGCATTCGCTAAATCGACTTCAGCAGCACGTTTACGAATGACTAAATGTGATGAATTAATTGAGCCTAGATTTGGTGTACTAGTGTCATCAAAGAGTATTTGTTCGTCGCAATAATGGTCATTAACATTATTGTAGGTAGTTGTAGAAGAATTAGTTTGTGGTGACGACTGCATAATGAAAACACTGCCTGTTAAATTTATTGCATCATCTAATGTACTTATGGCATCAGCTGTTGTTGGATCTACTAATATAGACGAATTAGATGCTGGAGTAGTAAAAAAGCTAAATAGTTGAAAATCAATGGTACCAGTATTAGCTACGTCATTGCAGATAGCTGTTGAATCATCATCATTTGTGCGCTGCTTAAAGAGAGCAGGTGGTAGATCTTCTTCATTCTCAATACCTTACCCTTCATTAATTGATTTTCATAACTCTAAGTCGACTCTTGCCTTCTGACCAAATACAATTTCAAAAGAAGTTGCTTTAACAGAACCAGCTAAACTAGTACTCATAGACTAAACAGCTGGAAGGAGACATGGAACCCAATGTGTCGTGTCACGAGCTTGCATTAATTTACCCAAAATATCACATAGTGTGCATTGCCTCTTTCGACAAGCTCCTGAGACTGAGGATGTCGTGGCGGCCACTATTGATAATCAGTCCTGGCCACATAACTTTCAGGTCTTTAATTATGTGAGCAGTAAAAGTGAACTCTTTACCATTGTCAGATTGCAATATTTTGCAAAGACCAAACTGGTAAAATAATGTAGACAAGTGTTCAGCAATATAATGAGCTTGTTTTGTTTTCAGTGGGAAACCCCATGATAATTTAGTAAAATGATCACGGCAATGAAGGATCCACTGAAATTCATCGTCAGGACGGGTACGTAAATCAATGAGATCTATCTGAAGTCTCGTCATAAATGCAACTGATATGATAGGTGTTGATATAGCATGACTTTTTACTGAATTCCTAACCTGACATGCAACACAAATTTAAGAGATAAATATCAATCACATTCGATGGCATCCAATAATAATGTTGGTTAATTTCACGTCTCATTTTATCCCGAGCCCCATGTCCAGGTTTTTCATGAACAACTTTGGATAGTATAATAAGTCTCTAAAATAACAATTTGTTGACCGCTGTTTGACGAACATAATAGTTCAACACCAGAAGCGTTGTCAGTTTTAATTAATACTATCAATACCGGCAGTCTTGCCTGATTTCGGTTGTTGTAAAGCGTGAATTATTTTATTATAATAATAAAATGTTAATATTGTCTTTTCCTTAATTTTTAAAATCTTAGATTCGCCTGGAAATTTCAGACCAATCTTGGTTTGGACGTTGATTCTTTCTTCTATTCGAGAATGGCTGTGTCCAAACTGGGATCCGAGACTGGATGTATTAAAATGAGGGTGAACCTCAGACTTGAGTTTCAACCCGTTCAATCCCGGGTCTGAGATTGGCGTAGTCTGCGACTAGACGATATCCTAGTTTGACGCTGACATATATATGTACAATCTCAAAGCCAGAAGAGGAAGACCAGAGAAATGATAATTATATAATTACAGTATTTACTACTCTCTGAAAAAAAACGGTGCCGGATAGAACCTTTTAGGGTTCAAGCCAAAAAAGGGTTCTGTCTCACACCTTTTTCATTCTTTCGGATAAAAGGTTCTCGCCACGAGTGTTTCAGTACCATTCAAGTGGTTCGATATCGCACCTTTGCAAAAGAAGGGTTCCGTACAGAACCTCTCTCAACAAGAACGTCCCCTATGGATCCCTTTTTTGCCGCGTCCTGCCTTTCTTTCCATACAGTATTCTAATGTTATATTCTCTTGTTCATATACTAGGTACTGGCGTACACACTAAACAACAAGCGTCGTTTACTAAACCCCACTAAACCTCTTGTGGGTTTAGTAAAATGCAATGACCCACTACCTCTTCAAAAGTTTAGTAAAAAATCCTTTTAGGGTTTAGTAGCCTACTAAACCTGAAAGCGGTAGCGTGTTATTGCATTTTACTAAACCCCTAAAATAGGGTTTAGTAAACGCTTTTTGTCGTCTTGTTAAATCTTTTTCTACTAAAACTAAATTTTTTTGCTTTCAACAAACTCTTCTTCCTATTGAAGGTTATTTTCACAGACACGAAAACCAACTAAAATCCGTTTTAACGAAATTTTTTTTCCAGGTAAGCAACGCTCTCAAGAATTCTTTTCACTCATGCCGCATCCTACAGAGGAAGAAATCATAATCGGCACTATCGATGCTGCTTATGTTTTTCGCAGTGTAACAAGAAAATATCCGAAAAGAGGCAACCAATAAAAATATCTCAACAGATTGGGTACATCTACAAAGGCCATCGCACCCCTTTTCGTTTACAGAAAACGGGGAAAAAAATCGCTGGACTAGTATTGTTTATTTTATTAGCTGAAACGAGAAAAGAAAAAACAAATAGCAGTAGAGTAAGAAATAAGAAGCGTTTTCATTGGGAATGAAAATCAAAACACTTTCGTTGAGTCGCTGAAAATAAGAAGTTTTACTTACTTTTGCCAAAAAATGGACGGAAACCCGACAAGCACTGGCACAATGAATGAAAGCAGTTTCTATACTTTTTGAAAATGTTGAGAAGCAAAATTTTGTGCAATCTTGGATAAGTGTGCATCTACGGGTAGTTTTATCACTTCTATTTGCTGCGTCTATGGCACTAAGTTCATCTTTTGCTACATTTTAGAAAAACGATGACTTATAAGGTTTTGGTCATTACGTACACTATTAGTCCTGGTAATGTTGACTCAAATGCGACATAGGAGATAATCGAACATGAGCCAAATATTAAAGACGATAACGCTGCACCAAACGAGTAACTACATGTAACACCGAATACGAGACTTGTCAGCAACGCTTATACAATCAAATTAACGTGCAGAAATGTTCGCATTGATTATATCTGTTAATTTGTTCTGACTGTGCGCAATCTAACGCCATATTCACATCCTGGTGAGGTCGCTACATATAGCCACTGTTCTCTTGAGTTCTGTCTGTATAATGCACGCAATCATACGCCCAGCTCTCAAGTGTGTGACGGCTAACACTAGTGGCGTAGCCACCTCTCAGCCCACCCACTAAAGTTTTATAATTCACACTACTATGCGCTAACGTCTGCCATTTTGGAAAAATTTGTGACAACGCCCACCCACTAACAAAATCCTGGCTACGCGACTAACTAACACACAGCTCCCTCATCAGGATGTGTATCTGACTCAAGGAGCAAAAAGAAACTTGGCAGGCATGACGGCGAACTTTAAGAGCCAAATAATTGATATTAATGCATCAAACTGCCACCATGTGTATTTTGTATTAGACGATGTTTTGCGCGCTAGAATCATTTAGAATAATAAAACAATCAGAGCCAGCGAAGCAATCTCCTAATATAATCTCAGGTACAATTTCATGCCGCAATGAGCACGAATCAATTTCTCAAACATTTTCTTTTCTTCAGCGATTTTCTTCTACATGTTCTTTGAAATTACTTGTCCTGTATTCATTTTTGTCGAGTTTTTTAAGGGTCTCACTCACGATGTGTACGTGTACAAAAACTGAACGAATGGTAGATAGAAGAAAGAGACGATGATCTTGTTGTGCATATATGTACAAGATGTCACATGTGTTTATCCCTTGCTACCCTAAACAGATCTTGTTTTGGAGAAAAGATAAAGTCTCATTTACTAGAATCTAGCCGTACATATCACCAGAGCCTAGTATCTATTTCAATT